TTTTTTTTTTTTTTTGGTGGAACTAGGGATTAAACTCAGGCCTTTGTATTTGCCGGGCAAGCGCTTATTCTACTGAGCTATCTCCCCAACCCAACACATACAGTTTCTATAATTAAAAAAGATACTGTTTTAGGAAATACTGTTATCATTAAGACCAAATATAGAGTCCCACCAAGACCTAACAGAATGTGAACTTGGGAAAATTATGCCTAAGGTGGTCTGATAAAAAGATTGTTATGAACCTCCACTTATAAAATTAAGAATCTCCCTCTTTCTTCAAAATAAACACAGAGAATTATAACAGGTATGAGATGACTCTGCAGTATTCCAACCTTGCTGCTCTCCACAAGTGACCATGTTTACTAAAACCAGTACCAGTGCTCATGGGTTCCCTTTTTGTACTACATAACTAAATCTAGGGGGTGCCATTCGCATCAGTCTGCATTACAGGCACTGCCTGGAGCTATATGTTCAATCTGTGTGGCCCAACCAATAACTCTTTTCCCTATTTGCATTGGTTCTCAAGTCTGTTTGGAAACAGTTTATGTCAATGATAATGTTCATATAATTATTAAAATTAAAGTATTAAAATCGCCTTATAATTCTAGAAAAGGAATTAGGTAAAATTATTTTTTTTGTCATTTTTTAAAACAAAGCAACTATAGCCAGGTATGATGGTATATATCTGCAATCCCAGCTACTGAGGAAGTTGACACAGGAGGATCTCTTGAGCCCAAGAGTTCAAGATCAGTCTAGACAACACAGTGAGATTCCCCCTTCCTCTCAGAATAAACTATTTAACTCACCTTAAACATGACATTAATTTCTTCCCCCATAGGATCAGCATTCACCATGGTGACTTTTAGGGGTACGGCATTAGAACTGAAGAAGGAACATGACTGCAAATACAACAGTTATAAACATTAGGAAAACAACACTGAAATAAAAATGAATTAATGATTTTATTGTCTTAGACACTTTCCCTTTCACTTATTTGTTGAATTATGGCAAATGAAATAATACATAAGAAATGATTCTTAGATGATCTGGCAGGAAAAAAAAATTATATATATATATATATATATATATATATATATAGAGAGAGAGAGAGAGAGAGAGAGAGAGAGAGACACCTAACAAACAAGCCAGGGAGATAGCTCAGCAGTGTAGGTCCCTGCCTGGCAAGTGCAAAGTCTTGAGTTTGATTCCCCATACCAAAAATTTGGCATAGCATATATAAGCAATATATCATAAACAGAAAAGCAAAAACTTAAAAACCTAGGACAAAAATACTACAAATTTGAGCCTTATAAGTGTCTTAAGGCACTTCCTCCCATAAACTATCCTGTGCTGCTTTTTATTGGGGAAAGGAGCCAAATGTATAGATCACAAGGCTGACCAAGTGTGGCAGTTCTGGGATGAGATCTCTGCTTCTACTTATCATAGTGTTATGGGTTGATTATCTGTAGAATCAAATATTGACAAAAGCCCAATTTCATTAGCAGAAATCAAGTCTTATTTTAAAGTGAAATTGGCTAAAAAAAACTCATTTAAAATGATAAAGCCAAGCTAGGCATGGTGATGCATGCCTGTAAACTCAACACTTTGGGAGGCTGAAACAGAAAGATCACAAGTTGAAGCACATCCTGGGCAACTTAACTTAGTAAAACTCTGTCTCAAAATAAAAGATATACAGGGCTTGAATATAGCTCAGTGTGAAGGTCCTAGTTCAATACCTGGTATTCAGCAGGGAAGACCAATTTAAGAGAAACAATAAGTCAAACTCAAGTAGTAAATGATTTTATACTGTTGGTCTTTTAGGACTAGTGATTAGGTAAAAATATACATACTAATCACAGACATTCTTTCATATATACTTATAACCAAACGATGGAGGTTTCACCCTCATTTACTTTATATATTTTTATTTATTTATTTTTTGGTGGTACCAGGGATCAAACTCAGGACCTTGCTCTTGCCAGGCAACCATTTATTCCACTGAGCTATCTCACCAGCCTGTAAGTATACCTGCTCATTTTCTCTCTTTTTCCATGTTATTTTCTCTTTTTACATATTATTTTGAAATTTAATTATGAATTTAGTAAGTACTGTGTCACCTTAACATTTAATTCTTTTGCCACTAGACTTGGCTTGAGAGGGAGACGACATTTATTTCTCAAAAAAAAGGTCTGTACTCTTTCCATACTCCTTTGGAGGACAACCTATAGAAAAAAAATTGTTATCGTAAATACATAATAAAAATTAAGACCTATTTTTAAGACAACAAATTATGCTATGCTGTAGACACAAATTATAAAATGCCCAATTGCCAAATGGTCCAAAAAAATGTTGCTAAACGTATTCACTCTGACTGCAAAAGCAAAATGGAATGGGCAAAAGCTTCAAAGAGAGGGAAAAATATGTATGGCCAGCTAACACACAAAAATATTAAAGGTTGCTAACAGTTACAAAGAAATAAAAAGTAAACAAAACAGATGCAGTTTTTCATCTGCCACATGAAACTTTAAGACAGGGGCGGGGAGATAGCTCAGTAGAATAAGTGCTTGCCTGGCAAGCGCAAGGCCCTGAGTTCAATCTCCGGTACAGCCAAAAAAAAAAGAAAAGAAATTTTAAGACAATATCCAATGGTAGGAAATATTTCATAATCTCTTGATGGAGAAAGAAGTGTATATAGGCATAGCTTTTTTTTTTTTTTTTTTTTAAGAGAGCACCCTAACAAATTATAACTAAAAATGTACATAGTTCTAGACTTAGCTATTTTGCCTAAAGGAATGGCTTATAAATACTAGTGAACCTGATGTGGTAGTGTACATTTGCAGTTATAGCCACTTGGAAGGCTGAGGCTGAAAGATCACCACTTTAAAAAATAAAAATAAATACAGGAGCCGGGGAGATGGCTCAGTGAAATAAGCGCTTCCCTGGCAAGCACAAGGGCCTGAGTTCAATCCCCGGGTCTGTAAAAAA